GAGGATGGTGGAGCAATCTTTTGTGAACTCGTATTTGGGGACATATGGTTCTGACTTCCGCCTGATCTTCTGGGCCGGCTGTCCTGATCGGTCAGCTGCCCAGACCCCTTTTCTCTTTTCTTCCTTTCTTGCCGGCTGATGCTGTTGCCGGCTCTCTTTTTTATCAGACTTTTTAGAATCTGACGGCTGCTTAACAGCACAAAGCTCCGTCGCCTGTATATAGGCTTCAGCTTCAATTAATGCCTCTTGGAGGGTAGCAACCCTCTTCCGGACGAGGTCAAACTTAAAAGTCGACCCATCCTTCAAACCTCGAAAGAAGTCTGTATAGGCCACTTCGTCTGATAGTCCTGGAATCTGAATTCTCATCAGATTGAACCGTCTGACGTACAACCGGAGGCCCTCCAGGTCGTCCTGCTGTATTGCCCCTAGGTCGAGGCTAGTCTTTTTGGCAGGAATATTCATTGAGAAATTTGACGTAAACAAGTACGCCAAAGTTCGAAAGTTGTTGATGCAACCGGCTGGTAGGTTACCAAACCACCGCTGGGCTATGCCCTTGAGGGTAGCCGGGAAGCATCGACACCAGACGGCATCATCTAACCCTGGAGGTACATGAGGTTAGAGTAGGCCATTAGATGGTCTTCTGGGTTGGTGGTGCCGTCATAGGCCCCCACCAAAACATTCTTGATCTTAGGCGGCTGTGCCGCCTGGGTTATCTCTGGTGAGAACGTCGTTGGCTGTTCCCCCAAATTTAGCAGGCGCAGCTGCCAGTCTGTGGGTTGGAACGGCTGTTGCGCTTGCCCACCGAAAAGACCCGGTGACATGAAAGGGGATCCACCCAACCCATTCGGTGTGCCGAATAGGCCAGGCTGGATCACTTTGGGTCCAGACCGGGCAGAAGCTTCGCCCGTCTGGCTCCTAAGGTTCGTTCCCGTACGCCTGTGTGAGACGTCATGGAAACTGTCCGGGAAGGTCGACGTTGAGGCCGACGCAGACGCCTGACCTCGCTTCTCTTGGAGAAATGTGCGGGCGTCTGAGAAGGTTTTCTTGGAGCCATCCGGCTGTACGTGCCGGATGGCCTTTCGCAGCTCCCCTTGAGGAAAACGGAGTCTGCTTGGATCAAACCTTAAGCCCTCCCCCTCCTTTGGCTTGGGATGAGGCGTAGGAACTCGTTCTTTGACCGCCTTCTTTCCAGAAGGCTTCTTGGCCGGCTGACCCTTCTTTGGAGTAGCTGACCGGATGAGGCTCTTGATCTCACCCTTGAAACTATTCATGAAAGACATGAGTTCGTTTCTTGTAACGGGGGCTGAGCCCTCCACCGTTTGGGCAATTCCAACCGGTTGCCCGGCTGGGTTGCTGGGAGCAGCTTGGCTGATTTCCCGTTCTCTTCTATCTATAGCACGAGGGTGCTTCGTTCTGAAAGACCCATCCGGGGCCACATATGTTTCAATTTCGTCGCCACTTCCATGGTCCGTCTGGACTTCAGGCTCGACCAAAGGCCGTTTGCCCTGATTCGGTGACACAGTATCAGAAGTCATCTTAGAAGTACTCTCCCCACAGACGGCGCCAAATGTTTCGGGGTTTTTTGATGTGTCCTGCGGGAGAGTTACAATTCCAAGAATGCCCTTCGACGCCTGTGCCTGCAAAATCACGAAGACTCCTGGGGGTAGGAGCTCCGCCTCCGACGATCAAGTTAGTAAAGATACGGGAGGTAGGATGCACGTAATGTAGAAGTTACTTCTCGCGTAATGGGAGAATTCTGCAATTAATATTGCTCGGGGTAAGTGTTTTTCTTTTTGAGGAGTATTCAATGTGAACAACAAATGTTTCGGCCCCCATTAATGAGGGTCCTTCCACTATTTATAGTGGGGAAGGGATGGTTTCCCTTTTAGGGTTTAGAGGACACGTGTCAGCAGAGGATTGGAGCCCTGCTGACCAACGGCTGGATGCCACGTGTCACTAGGCCATTGGGCCACGTGTTTAGGGTATTTTTACCCCAAACAGTCGTAATAACAAATCATTCTAATCTTCATAGTAATGCTGAATTCTGAATGTCGGCAACCCTACTTCCGCTGGTACCACCGCTTCTGTTCCAAATACTAATGTGAATGGTGACTCTCCTGTTGCTTCTTTCACTGTCGTTCTATTTGCCCATAAAATTTCTGGTATCAAATCAACCCACAAACCCTTTGCATCCTCTATCTTCTTCTTGATTGCTGCTATAATTTGCTTGTTTGTCGATTCTGCCTGGCTGTTTGATTGTGGGTGGCATCCTGCTGCATATGCAAACTTCACCTTATACATGGACAATAAATCCTTTACTGGTTTGCAGTCAAATTGAGATCCATGATAAAAAACCATTGTCATTGGTAACCCGAATCTTGTGAAAATATTTTTCCACATAAATTTTTTCACCTCCGATGCTGTTATCTTTGCTACTGGCTCCGCCTCTATCCATTTTGTAAAATAATCCACCCCCACTATGAGAAACTTCCTTCCGCCTGTTGCCGAGGGAAACGACCCTACTATATCCATTCCCCATTGTGCGAAAGGGATTGGATTGAGTATTGGCGTTAAATCATTGGGCGGCAAATTGATAGCGGGTGCAAATTTCTGACATTTCTCACATTTCTTCACATACTTAACAGCATCTTCATTCATTGTCAGCTAGTAGTACCCCCTTCTCATTGCTTCTCGCGACAGTGCTCTTGCTCCAAGATGATTTCCACAAGTTCCTTTATGTATCTCCTCAATCAACTTGATAGATTCAAGATCTATTATGTACCTTTGTAACGGTAATGAAAATCCTCTCTTGTACAGCTGGCCTTGATGCATTATAAACCACACACTATCCCTGCGCAGTTTTCTTGATTCTTCCTTATTAGGGGGTAAAGCTCCATACAGTAAATATGCCAGTATTTTGTCAAACCACTGGATGCCACTATTGATACAGTACACTTGCTCTGATTTCCCTTCAATACTTCTGTGTTTTAATATCTCCACCATAACTGTTCTTTCCAAGTCATTGAAGCTTGAGCTGGCAAACCTTGCCAAGGCATCAGCCTGTGCATTCTATGCTCTCGGCACTAGCTTGATTTCAAAGTGTTGTAATTGTACTGATAATTGCTTCATCTTTTCAATATATTTTATCATTGTTGGCCCCCTTGTTTCATACTCCCCAATATACTGGCTGGATACTAGCTGAGAATCGGTAGTCAGAATTATTCGCTTTGTTTCAGCCGCCATAGATAACTAGATTCCTGCTATGGCTGCTTCGTACTCAGCGTCATTGTTAGTGGCCTTGAACTTAAATTTGATCGCATATTCAAAAGTTTTTTCATTTGGGGTCGTTATCACTATCCCTGCCCCTGACCCAGTTGATGTTGCGGATCCATCTACTGATACCTGCCACATTGTAAGCTAATTGTAAGTATTTTACGCGTCTAATATTTTTGTATCTTAAAATTTTAACTTTAAAACTTATAATTGATTTTTATATCATAAATATTAGATTATAAACCACTGAAACCTGCCAAGTTCCCAATTCTTCTTCCTCATCATTGTATGAGGTTTCCACAATGAAGTCAGACAAGGCCTGTGCTTTTATTGAAACTTTGGGCTTATAATTTATCTCATACTCTGACAACTCCACAACCCACTTTAACATCCGACCTGATGTATCCATCTTGTGCAAAGACTTTTCCAACGGATGGTTTGTCAAGACATCTATCAGATGTGAACCAAAATACGGTCTCAACTTTCTAGCCGCTGTGACCACTGCCAATGCCATCTTTTCTATTATCGGATATATGCGTTCAGTTGCACTTAGAACATGAATGACAAAATATACCGGTATTTGTAACTTCTTCCTTTCTATCAGCAACACTACAGCTATCGTCTTTGGAGAAGCCGAGATATATAGCTGTAGCAACTCCCCCCTTTCTGGCCTTGCCATTGTTGGAAGAGATCTCAAATGGTTCCTTACCACTTCTAATGCATCCCTTTGCTCTTATTACCACTTCTAATGCTTTGTTCTTCCTTAAAGCCACAAAGAACGTAAGTGCTTTGTCAGCTGATTTACTGATGAATCAAGTTAACCCTGCCATCCTTCCGATTAACCTTTGTATATCTCGAATAGTTTTCGGTTGTTTCATCTCAAGCACTGCATTCACCTTATCGGGATTAGCATCTATTCCCCGTTCACTAACCATAAAACCTAAGAATTTCCCTGACCGAACTCCAAATACACATTTCTCTGGATTCAACTTCATCTGATATTTCCGCAATGTCTCAAATGTTTCCTTCAAATCAGCTATGTGATCCTTCTTTTCTCTACTTTTAACAATTGTATCATCTACATACACATCCAAATTTCGGCCTTTCTGCTTCTCAAAAGTTTTGTCAACTAACTTTTAATAAGTTGCTCCAGCGCTCTTTAACCCAAACGGCATTGCCTTATAACAATACACACCCACATCTGTTATGAAGGTCGTTTTTGGCCTATCTGCCTTATGAAGACTGACTTGATGATACCCCGATAAAGCATCCAAAAAACTGAGCATTGCATGGCCAGAAGTAGAGTCCACCAATATATCTATCCGAGGCAACGGATAACAATCCTTGGGACAAGCCCTATTCAAGTCGGTAAAGTCCACACACATTCGCCACTTCCCTGTTGGCTTTCTCACCATGAAAACATTTGCTAACCACTCTGGATATGTGCATGGCTCTATAAACCCCGTTGCTAAGAGCTTATTAACCTCTGCTTCTATGGTCTCTATCTTTTCAGTAGAAAATTTTTGTTTTTTCTGCCTTATGGGCCTAAACCCTCTGTTAACATTCAACTTATGCTCCATTACCCCAGGGTGGATTCCTGGCATTTCAATTGCCGAGAAGGCGAATACATCGGCGTTCTCACGCAACAGACTTATTAGATGACACCTCATATCTACATCCATATCTGCTCCAACTTTCACTGTTCGACTGGAATCTCCTGGCTGTAACTATATCTGCACCGTTTCACCTCCCGTCAACGGCATTGGAGTTGCTTCCGGCCTTGTATGAAAGTTGCTCATGGCCAGATCCCGTACCGTTGGTTCCAGCTCTTTCTTTGGATTACTTGTCACTGCATCCTCCCCAGATGGATTTTTCAAAGCCGTTACATAGCAAGATTTCGCCATTACCTGCCCTCCGTGAACCTTTTCAACAGCTCCTAAATTCGATACATAAGCTATCGTCAGATGGTATGTCGATACAACCGCTTGGACATCATGAATTATCAGTCTACTAATAATGGCATTATAAGCTGATGGGACATTGACCACTAAAAATTCTGCCATCACATCTCTCGTAATCGGCCCATCACTCAACCGTACCGGCAAAATTATGCTTCCTTCTGGTCTCACTGTCGATCCATTGAACCCAATGATCGGATAAGATACTTGCGTCAGATACTGCCTCCCAATCATCATTTCATTAAAAGCTTTCATGAACAAGACATTCGCAGAGCTGCCTCCATCCACCAGAACTCTCTTGACATCAGCTCCATTGATCTTTGTTATGAGCACTAGTGGGTCATCATGTGGGAATACAATACCCCTGGTGTCCTCTTCCGTAAATACAACATATGGGATTGAAGCTGGACGAGGGCGGTTGTTGGTATCCAGGGCATTGATGATGTGACGGTGCTCAGACAGATGTTTCTTAGCCCCACTAATTGTTCCTCCATGAACCGGCCCCCCAGTTATCACATCTACCCCTCTTCCTGTTGATAGGGGAGGCATTCCACCACCTCCTTGTCGGACCACTCCACCTTGTGACCTTTCCGGCCATGCCTCCAACTGATGTCTTTCTATCTGCCGGGGGGGTGGTTGAGCTCCTCCCGCACTTAACCGATACCGAGTCAAGTGCCCTTTTCTTATCAATTCCTCAATATTATCCTTCAACTGCGTGCACTCTTTGGTATAATGACCCACATCTCTATGAAACATACAGTACTTCTTAACATCTCTTGGTCTTGCCTTCATCGGAATCGGCCTCGTCCAGCCTTCTTTATTCTGATTAACTGAATAAATTGCTGCTCTTGGTGTGTTCAAGGGCGTATATGAACTATACGGCATTGGCGGTTTTGTAATTCTGAACTCCTGCTGATTTCCCCCTCCCCTTCCTGGGGTCGAAGTTCTCGGCCTTCCACTTCCAGAGGTTGCCCCTTCATATTGATATTGACCTTTGCCAGCAGCTACATTCTTACTACTCGTTTTCATCAATTCTTCACTTTTGATATAATCATGGGCTTTGTTAAAAGCAGCTGCCAAGGTTTAAAAATTCTTTCGCGTAAGGTAATGCTTAAACTCGGAATCATTTAAGCCATTCATCAATGCCATCACAGCTATCTCCTGTTGCAATTTCGGAATCGTACTCACCTCATTATTAAACCGTCTGATATGATCCCTTAAAGACACATCCCGCCTTTGCTCTACTGCCATTAACCCCCCTGAAGTTCTCTGCCGCACACTGTTACTAACATACTGCCCCACAAACATCTCGGTCAGCTTCTCAAAACTATCTATCATCCCATTTTCCAGGTTATTGAACCAATCGGCCGCGACCCCAATTAATGTAGTCGGAAAGACTTTGCACCAAACAACATCTGAGTTTGTGTACAACATCATATGCCCTTCGTATGACGTTATGAATCTACCCGGGTCTCCTCTTCCATCATACCTACAGGTCGGTATTTTAATTTTTTCCATCGGCTGGTTTAAGAGACTTTGCGCAAACGGCGATGCTCTTAATTGTACCACAGTTCGTGGTACCTGTCCTTCAACCTGAGAACTTCTATGCTGATGGGTTCTTGTAATAACAGTGCGACTCGACGACTGCCCCTCTATTTGACGCGGTGTGGTATGTGTTCTTACCAGCGTTTCTTCCCGGCGGTGCCTTGGTGAATTCGTTGCTTGATTTAATTGTTCACCATGATTGATTAACGGCACCCCCCCTTCAGCCTGAGTTGTTTCAGCCTCTTTTCTCTTTTTACTCATTGCAATCATTACTCTTGCTGCTACCTACAACTCTTCTGGTGTAAACACCGCCATAGGGTCTACTATCGTCCCCACCTGCCTTTCCAGGGTTAACGACATGTGGAACTGGTTTTCTTCTAATGTATGTGTTTCGTCTTCTACCTCAATTTCTGGCTATGCTGTAATCGGTCGATTTACCGTTTTACTTATTATTGGTGTTGCATTATTTTCGGCCATAATTATTGTTATTTTGTGTGTTAGGTTCTTAGGCGATAGAAGTAATCACTATTGCCCCCTCCTAGCGCCAAATTGTTTCTGTCTGGATCCGATTACCCGAGAGACCGAACCCGAGAACTTGATACCCCTATCGACAAGCTGAGAACCTACACAATGAGCATAAGTTAGCTAGCGCCGGGGTGATCCGGGGATAACCACTCTGATGATAAAGTTAGAATGTGTTTAAGAGAAGGTAAGTAAGAGAGAGAAAGTAGAGAGAGAAAGAGAGAGAGTAATAAATGCTTACCATTCAATGAAGCTTAATCTACTATTTATAATAAATTTCATGACATGTGGCTACAATGCATGCAAGGCTTTTCTCGCCAAGTGTCAATGATAAAAGTGCCACGTGCCAAGTATCGAAAAGCCAATATGGCCGATATGTCTGCTTTATGGAACATATCGGCGCTTGTCACATATCATCCCATACAATGTTTATATTATTGTGACAGAGAAATCTTTTCAGTTTTATAGGTCTTTTGATTGTTGATAAAATTATACTTTTCTTTTGATAAAATTATACTTTGTATATACAAATTTATAGAAAATTTTGTCAAAAAATAACAATTTATAAATGAATTTATAAACTCGTTCAGTTTACTCGTGTTTTTGTATAGCATTCAACACCACCTAGCTAGGAATTCTCTCTGATAATTTACAAGAAAAGAGAATTATTTTTTTATATAAAACACAAATAAGAGACATATTTTCAATCCAATGCCCAAGCCACCCCTGCCTTTTTTCTTCTTCTTTTTTTTTTTTTTTCCTTTTTGAACATTATAAAGCACACCAAATTACCAGACACTAGTTTGGAAAATGCATCTATTCTAGTAATTCGGATTACATACCAAGATAAGCCCCAAGGTTTTTCTTCGGATAAAAAAATCTGCGATCATTTAAGCACCTCTCCTTTTTGAGAGTTGCAAGAACATGGAAATGCATGCATCGTAATCTTATTTAATGCAGCAGCTTACATGTAAGAAAGCAAGAGTTTTCCATCTTTTTCCTGCCTAAATTATAATGCCAACCATTGCTAATTAGAGCAAATGGAAATGTTATATTTGTGGAAATTCGTGTGGCTTGCGTTATTTTTTTTAGTTCTTCTAGTTTAAGTCTTAGGCAAAACTAATCTAATCTTATACTTCTTCCGTTCTATTAATATTGCAACAATGGACTTTTTGCACTATTCATCACTTTTTTGACCATATAATATGAGTTATACGTTAAACAAGATATAGTCAAGTGGGATCTTGTTGAATTCGTCTCATATAATACTTTCACAATATCAACTTTTTGTAATTTTTACTCTTACACAATTATAGATATTTAGCATATTAATTGTGTTTTGGGATGCATAATTTCCTCCTTGTTGCAATATTAACAGAACGGAGGAAGTACTTCGTACTATCTATTCCCTCAAAAAAAAAAAAAAAAAAAATTCTTATACAATTATACTCATTCAACTTTAGTTGATGATGAACAATATATTTAATTACCTCTAAACATCAGAAGGTCTCTTTTTGAGTATGAAATGCAACCATACCACCAGCCAATCAGTTAGGAACGGAGAGCACCCCTCGCCTAACTCATGCAATACAGTATAGAGCAATATTCAATATCAAATTCTACAAAGAACTTGTCCGGGAAAATAAGTTAAGCTAACAACATTCTGTTTATTTTTACATTTATTTTTGCTGGTAAAGATCATAAGGGCATTAAAAAGAAAACACTCAGAAGATCCGAGTCTAACGCTTTATTTGGATAGCAAAGAAAGAACGAAAAAAAGGGGAGGGAAAATGGAGGAAGGGAAGGGAAAAGAAAGGGAGGGGGAGGTGAGCTCCATTTTCCCTCCAAATCTCTCCAATTTTGGAGAGATTATGGTTATTAAAGAGAGAGGGAAAATGGATCCCTCCCTCTCCTTCCCCTTTCTTTCCCCAATCTTTTACCCAAACAAGAGATTTTGTCCCCCTCCATTTCTCTTCTCTTCTTTTCCTTCCATTTCTTCCTATCCAAATAAAGTGTAAATGATACAGAAATAAAACTTAAGAGTTGAGATAGTAAGCTATTGACCTATTGTACATTAATCAGACTACAATCTAGAATGTTTACTTATATTAGGACTGACTTTACCTCATGTCAGCTGTTACAAGCCCCAATCATGAAACAGTAAAAGCTTACAGAGTTGATTTCTTGACATCAATAGAGATTAAAGAAGCTCACTTTCAGACTCGGAGTAGAATTATGACTTACCTTGACATGGCTGTCAACAATGAGCATCACACTTACTTATTATAGATATATGGAAATAAAATCTGAATGCTATTGAATAGGAAACACAACACGTTAGGGTTCGTTTGGCATTGTTGTGGTTTTCAGTTTTTTGGTTTTTTGTATTTTAAAAGTGTATAATATATGTAATATAATGAATCCAAAATTAGTCAAATTTATTAAAATCATACTAATTTTGAAAACTGACAACAGAAAAATGAAAACACCTTTTTCTTGTTTCATGTTTTTGGTTTTTTGTTTTCAAAAAAACTGAAAACTAAAAACAAAAAACAATGTCAAACAAGCCCAAGTTACCAATTACGAGTACCAAACATAACACTGAGAAAATCATTTGTATAAGATTTTTATTAAAAAAAAAAACAAATCTTCATTAAAAAAGTGTAATTTGTATTTTCATTTAGCCATTTCGTTTGATGACTAATTTTGTTCAATTATCGAATTAGTTATGGAGAATTTATATTTATAATTTTAATTATTCATAAGAAAGAAATTAAAAAAATTAACTACAATAAGTTATTATACCTCAACTCCTTAAAGTTGTATGTAGATGATGGTAGACGTCAGTGTATATGCAGATTCGGGATGTGGCATATGTTGGGCCAGTCTTCCCCGTCTGGTTTCCGGCATCTATCCTTGATCTCAGGGCTGCTCCATGTCATTGTAAGGGTATTGAGGGAAGTGAGGTGGCACATTTCCTCTGGCAGCGATTTGAGTTCACAGTCATGTAATTCTAGAAATTGCAGTGAGGTCAAGTACTGAATTCCCTTTGGTAGAATCACCTTGCACTTATGTAATTCCAAGGAAGTAAGAGAGTGAAGAGATTTCCATGTTGATCCCAGATTCTCCAAGCCCCTACAATACCCAATCACAAGGTTTCGAACAGAAGTGCCACAGCTTTGAAGTCCCTCTCTAAGGGCTCCCAAATTTTCTATATCACTCAATTCGATGCGATCAACGCTTCCCACACACTCCCTAAATAGGGAATTGAAAATGTATGAGTTATTTATTCTCAACCTCTTCAATGAGATTGGAATGCTTTGAACACCGCCTCCTCCCATACAAAATGTCAGTGCTTCACTGACAAAGTATGTCAATCTGTTGCAATACGAAATTTTCAAAAAGAGGAGTTTAGAAAATGATGGAACGAAAACAACATCCTCCATCCACAATCCCTTTAATTTTTGCATCTCACGTATCTCTAACTTCTCAAGAGAGGGGAAGAATATAGCTGATGAAGATGGTGCATCATACTTTATGAACTCTACATTCTTCAACTCCTTAAGTTTAAAATATTTGAGATGACAAAGTTGACTCAGTGATGATGGGATGTATTGCAACTCATCACATCTTTCCAACTCGATGCTCATAAGCCTTGGCGTCAAACTTGGCAACATGGTACCACCATAATTCTCCACCTTCATCTCGTGAAATTGGTTACTAAATAACAGGCTCTCCAGCGCTGACTCGTGACCTTCTTTGTGACCAGAAACTAATATGCATATTAATTTTAAAGACTGTAGTGTAGCATGCATAATATCTAATTTTGAAAAATTAAGGTTGCCTGAATTATGATGAACTTTGATAAAACCTCTGAGGCTATTAAAAAGAGTCATCAACTCTATGACCTTGCCTTTTTTAATATGCCTTAGTTCATCAAAATCATACAATAAAAACAACGGTAGTGTGTGAAGATATATTAATTTATTCATCCCTGCTGGCATATAAAGCAAGCTACCACACTCATCTATGTCCAACACTCTAAGATTTACTAGTTTGTTTGTGTCATGAGACAACTCCTTTAGTTGTCTGCATTTAAATAGTTTTAACATTTGTAGATTGTGAAGCTTGGCGATCGATTTAGGGAGCATCTCCAATTCATCATTATTTGACAGATCAAGGTACCTCAAGTGTAATAATTTATCAAATTTATCTGGTAATGTTTGAGTGATAGAAAAACTCAAGTCAAATGCCCTTAAGTGATTACAACTTGAAATAATAGCATCCACATCGCTATTTGTGAAATCACAATAACTCAAACTAGTACGCAAACTTTTACCTGGATAATTACTTGAGCGAAACCAGGTAGCCAGACCTTCATTACTATCAATTATTAGATGGTGAACTTTTTCTTCAAAATCATTTCTACAATCTGTAAATTTTGCAGACTCTTTTGCTACTTTTCTAGCAAGTTCATGTATGAGATCATGCATTTTAAATGAATAAACTTCATCAAATCCATTCCCATTAATGTCTTGGAAAAAACATCTATGCAATAGAATTGATAAATTTTTTTCACCGACATCTTCCTTGCTCTCAATTTAAGAACTTGGAACAAGATATCCTTGTGCCATCCATAGACAAATTAACTCCTCTTTCCTAATAACATAGTCCTCGGGGAAGAGTGAGCAAAAGCTGAAGCAACTTTTTAACTCAGGAGCAAGATGATAATAGCTAAACATCAATGTTGGCATTATGTCGTCATCATCATCACATAACTTAGCCAAATCGACACTTTTGAATAACTGCCAAGCTGCAACATCTTGATCACACAACAAACTTGCTACCACCTTTATTGAGAGCGGCACATTGACACATTTTCTCACTATTTCTTTACCTATCTCAACTAGACCAGTGACTGCTTCGTCTTGCCTTTCTCCAAGCGATATTTTTTTGAACAATTTCCAAGAGTCCTCTTCCGAAAGACCAGGCAACACATGAATTGGATAGTTTCCAATACATACTGCTACCTTCTTGGAGCGGCTAGTCACTAAGATCCTACTTCCCTTTCCCCCTAGGATCAAGAATTTTTTCAACTCAGTCCACTTCATACAGTTCTCAGACCATACGTCATCTAAAACAAGCAAGTACCTTTCCCCTTCTATCTTATTTCGAAATTTTAGATATAAATCCTCAAATTCAAGCCCCTCCTTGCTAATCATCTTACCTAGGATATCTTCCATGCTAAAATTTTCAGACACACAAACCCAGTACATATTTTCTTTAAATGCCTCTTTGATCCTACAATCATTATATACGAGCTGTGCAAGAGTAGTTTTTCCCAGCCCCCCAATCCCCACAATGGTCACAAAAGAAATATTATTTTTTTCCAAGTCGTCCTTTAACAACAAATCCACAATGATCTTTTCGTCAGCATCTCTCCCAATAATATCATGTTCAAGCACATAACAACATGTTTTCTCTCTACTTTTGACAGGCTTATACAACTTACTAAACCCAAAATCATTATGATTTTTAGCTGCATTATCCAACTTTTCTTTAAGTTTCTTAATCCCACTTGATATTTTAGCAGTAAATATCAGTTGATTATTATCAGAGGAGAAGAAACGGCGTACCTTCTTAGAAATCTTACCACCAGGCATTCTATTCAGGCGTTGAGCAATGGTATTGAATTCATCCATCAGATCATCCGCATCATAGACAGCGTCCTTGAGGTTATCAACCCAGTTTTGGCCTTCATTTGTGAGCTCCTAACACTTGGAGTCCGCATCTACAAGGAACTTCTTGATGGTTTTGACAGTTTCGAGCAACTTCTGAAGCTCAGATTCATACTTACAGGTGGAGCATAGGCTTCTCACTTCTGCACACTGTAATGTTGCAAACACCGTTTGAGCAACAGCGAGTGCAGTAGCAACATCCCTTTTACAGTAGAGTGTTGAATAAAAAAGAGCAGAGAAATTAAAAGATGAAGCTAAGAGTTGTGGTATTCTTTAATTTTTTTTTTTAACAGTGAGTGAATTTGCTCTATGACTGTTTAAATAACCAAAGAACCTTAGCTTTTTGGACAACATAAATGGAAAGAACCTTAAAATATAATATTTCTATTATAAAAAAGACTTATAGCAAACGCGTATCAAAAGAATCAATACTCCATGTTTGACTCAAGTGTCCAAATTTGTACTCGTATCTGTAAATAATTTGGCAGTGTTCAATTATTATATGACACTGTAATTATTATAATGACGTTGTCTTAGCAGAAGAGTAATATTGCAAATCGCAACGGGTATATCAACAAAATCAAGAAAAACCTCACATGCATTTAAAAAAGTTATCAATAAACATTGTCCTGTCATATTGGCTACTTAAATAGTTTAGTCATTGGTCTTTGTTAAAGAAATTTAAGGTGGGTAAAATGACTGAAATTTGGATGGTTTAACACTTAGCTGGCTAAATTTCAGCACCTCCTTTGGATGGTTAAGATACTACCTCATGTTTGGTAGGTAACAGATTTCTTATTCAATTTGTTTGTATTGAATCTATTGATATAAAGGTATAGCTAAGGTTGTTTCAGTATAAAAACATTGGCATAAGCAAAAAGATCGTCAAGCTTTTTCAAATGAAGCTAATAAGTATGCATCATGCATATTTAATTTAATAATAATCCCTCCGTTCTTATTTACATAGAAATATGATACTCCGTAGTCCATATATCTATTACTAGTACTACGTATTAAAATGTTAAGTCATTACATGGTTGGTTGTTCAATACCGAAAGCAGACCAATATCAAAAGAATCAATCCTCAATGTTTGACACAAGTGTTGTCCAACTATGGCAATATTCAATCATACCATGCTGTTATTCACTTAAAATATTATCCCTCCGTACTTAAAAGTATGCACCACGCACAATTTACTCACTTTTTAATACTTGTATTTGGTTAAATTAAAACTAAATGGGAGCTCTGGGACCATATGTCCATATGAAGAGCGATTTTCAAAACTAAGGTTAAATTAAAACTTATTCACATTATGCGTTGGAATGGAATATAATTACAAAACATGGTAAGATTGCATAAAATTATTCAATTTTAAATAAATTCAGAGTAAATAGCAGTTTTCCCTTCAAAAAAAATAAATAAATAAATAAAAATTGAAATGATTTCCATAGCAAAATTCATCTGAATATAATGTTTTTTCAATTTAAGCAAACAAGTTAACTATTTTCAGCATACATTTTACGATTTTAAAAAAAATAATAATTAGGGTATAATACCTGAATTCCAACGAAATTGCAGGTTAACAAAAGCATGAATGGTGGTTGCACGCCGGAAGTTTGGTTGCGACAATTGGCGGCAAGCAGTGGTGCGCTGGCGTTGAAGTGATCGATTTAGAGTTGGCGTTCGGTATTACGTGACTTTACTCAGTTTTTTCCGTTTGCTTTGTGTGGAATTTAGAGATTTACATAGAACATTAACAATTGAAATTCCTACACCTAATTTTTAACTTTTATAGCAATGACTAGTTTACAGTTTGTGTAATCCATTGATAGTCAAATTCACCTTATTTTTTTTGCTTATTTAAACTTATCCAATTTAAATTGGTGTGCTCCAATCTGATATTTTATGTTTAAATCTGATATAAAGTCTAAGAGCATCTCCAATGGCAAGCAATTTACCAAATTAGCTTGCCATTGCCACATAGGATTTTAAGCTACTCCATTTTCTAGCTAATTTGTGCAATAATGGTTAGCTAATTTCTTAACATTTTTTTATTCAATTAATATTTTACTTTGAAAAATTATTTTTAGAAAGTGAAATTATTGCCAAAACATTGTTTATTTACATTTACTTTTTACGGTGATATACATTAGCTAGAAAATATATTGATTGATTAAAAAAGATCAAACATATATATATATATATATATATATATATATATATATATATATATATATATATATATATATAATAAGACCAATATATACAAATTCAATATAATGTAATTAAATAACATAACAACATAAGTTAAACACTATATTATAAAATTAATAAACAAGCATATTATCCATTAAGGGATTGCCCTTCGAAACAACTCCATATATGTTCCACTAGATCCGCCTTTAATTGATGATGCATTTGTCTATCTCGAAGGGTTGCATCCCTTTCAAGAAAAGCTCGAAAATCTAAAGGGTTCCCTTGATGAACATCATCGACAATTATTGGTGTGAAATCATCCTGAGAAAAGTTTTTTGTGTATGTGTGTCTCTCATCTTCAACAATCATATTATGCAATATAACACATGCTTCCATTATATCATGGAGCCTGCGTTTATGCCAACAACGTGCAGGTCCACGAACTATCGCAAAACGAGATTAAAGTACTCCAAAAGCTCGTTCGACATCTTTCCTTGCACTCTCATGTTTTTTCTTGAATAAAAGCCTTTTGGGATCTTGGGGATGTGAGAATGATTTGACAAATGTAGCCCACTCGGGATATATACCATCAGTACGATAGTACCTGTAGACACACATTTGTGTCTCCCCAAAACCAAACCCAGTGATGAGTACCTTTCACGTCGAATCATAATCGAATGAAGCGAAAGTGTGGAAAGTCTAGTGTTGCGGAAAGTTTTAATTTCTTTTCTCTTCTCTCTGTTTTTGAAAACTTATTTTAAAAAAATAGCCAATCCAGTTTGGTTGGTCCATGATACGGGTCCAATAGTAGTGTAGTTGGATGGGGCTTGACAAGAGCTTACCAACGATATATTATAAGCCCAATTCCGATGAATATTGAGGAAGTTATGGCCAATTTACTAAACTGGGCCCGGTTCGAACTTTATATGCGGCCCAATGATCTAGGGGAGGGCCTAATATGATTTATCATTCCTAATGCAATTAGGAATGGTTTTAGTCTTTTAAATTCTTCTAGAAGGTTCTTTTCATTCCTAATTCAATTAGCGTTGATAAATTGACTTTTGTTGACTTTTCAAAGTTTTAATTAAAATCAAAAAAAAAATTTCGAGGAAAAGATACGATTTTATCCTCCAGTACGGCAAACTTATCTGATTTTCGAAAACGCGTCAAAAACAGGCCTCGCGCCTGGCGCCAACCGTTGGCGCCTGTGCTAGCCATTGGCGCCTGGCGCCAATTAGCTGGTGTTGGCGCAACCTCTGTTTTGCGTGCGCCAACCTCTTTTTTCGTGCGCCAAGTGCACTGTTTTGATATTTTATCTTTTTGGCTGATTTCTCTATAAATAACGTATTAAAAACTCCGTTTTCATTAACCAATTTTCACGAATTCTCATCAACAATCAGTTTTCATTTGCAATTTTTAATTCTCTAATTCTCTCTTAATTCATTCATCTTTCTTCTCTAAACTTTGTTTTCATATACAAAATTCCGCATTCGCAAGATTTAGAAACACCTAGCCATATTCGAAGTTGCCTTTGCCCTAACCGTGAAAGGTTTAATTTCTGAGGGTTTGGTCCCAAATCTCTCTTTCAATTATTTAATTTAATTGTTTTTATTATTATTTTCCTTGAAGTTACTAACATGTGTATTTTGTTATTAGAAAGAGGTACGAGGCATCAAAGTAAGTGCTTTAATGGTTTTCATTGATGTTATGATGTACAAATCATGTTTATATTGTTATTATGATATTCCTAGTATCATGTCTTGGGTATTTTTAATATTAAATATGATTGCTATGATGCCTTTTATTCTCTTCCTAATATTTATGATTGTTAGTATCATGTTAGGGCTAAAGATTTGATTTTTATTGCTTAGTGACATGCTAGGGTTTGTTATTAATCTTGTTAGTATCATGCCTAAGATCTTGCTATTATTATTATGCTTTAACATGATTTATGATTATTTTTATAATTGTTTTGATAATGATTATAATTTTATTATTGCTATAATTATTATTATTATGAACATGATTATTATTATGATTAATATGATTGTTATTATGATGATTATTGTTATGATTATGATTATAATTATTATTTTGATGTTGCTTGATGATATTTATTGTTATTGCTTGATCACACCTTTTATGCATGCTTAAAGGGAATTTGTACTTGTAATAACGCTTAATAAGATATTAATAATCTTGTTAGGGTTAATTTGATTATAATTTCAAGTGATCGCCAATAATAGATTTATTTGTGCATTCATATTTAAACAACATAGATAAACAGGTTTAGGGTTAATCCTATGGATTGCATGTTAATTAAAAAGCGCACATGAATACGATCAGAATAAAGTAGAGGCCTATTATTAGGGCAGGTTCAATCTCTTTTAGGTTGGATTTGTACCTTCATCCCCGAACCCTTATTTGGTTCAAGACCTTATGGAGTTGACGATCTCCTGGATCGTTAAGGGGTGTAACCTTCACCCTGTGAACGGTTTACAAGTTCCTTAAACTTGTTGGCTATTGACACGTATCAATTATGGGCCTCACTAACGGATTCCATCCAAGAATTCGTTAGGTGGTGTTTAAATCAGTTTTTGGTGTTTTCTTGTGGTGTTATAATCAAAATTTATTTTTTTGTGGTGTTATGAACAAAATTTGTGTTTTTTTGTGGTATTATTTTCTAAAATTTCCTATATTCTTTATCTTTCCTAACCGTTTGTTTGAC